CCAGAGAACTCTGGAATTCAAGACAAGCCTCTACAGTGAAAAGCTATAGGAGTATTCCCTCAGCTATAGGAGGGGGCCTAATGCTGCAAAGTCAGATTCTGGCTTTAAGATGTAATAGTTTTTCCCTCATATGTTGGGAATCACTAAAGCAAAGGCATTGAAGAGAATTTAAAACATACAAACAAACCAAAGCCCTGACCTATTGGAATCTGTGGTCTGGCCTTGAGCTGCCTGGCAGGGACTCATCTCAGTGGGACGTGGCTTTGCACCTCCAGCCACACTGGCTGCCCCGGTTCCTTAAGCCCCCTTGCTCCTGCCCACCACCAAGTCTGTGCCTGCATGCTTGCTCCAGCCAACCCACTTCCCACTGTCTTTGCTCACCCACTCCCTTTGCCCTCTAACTTCTCCCTCCACCCTCTCCCTTTGCCTGGCTAACTTCTCTAGCCCTTCACATCTCAGTTTAAACTTCACTTTCTCTACTCACCTTCCCTGATCTTTCTGAGCAGGTAGCCCTCTATTAGAGAGGCCCTCCAAGCACTTCCATTTACCACTTTGCATTTCTTCATGGGTTTTCTGGATCAATGTCTTCCTTCCCCACCCAACTGTAAGCTCCATGATGGCAGAGACTTGTCCTCTTGAACTCCCCATTACTCCTCCAGCACCACCCAATGCAGTCCGTCATACAGCAGGTATTTAATAAATAGTTGATGATTTGTTTAATGAGTAAATGAATGAACATGTGGACTTCATTCACTTAGTGTCCCTTGGATTTGTCTTTCTCCAAACAATTAACAGTAGTTGGAAAGAAGTCTTCAGGTAAAGAATGTCACTCTGTAGTTTTAACTCAATAGATCACGAGGGATTAACAAAATAAAGGTACAGTCAGTGACCAAAATCATCCCTACGGCTTTAGGAAAAGAGGGGAAACCTAGCATCAGTGGTCCCTATCAGTGTGCTATATGGCATACCCCATGCTTTTTATGTAGGACCATTCCTAGAACTGGCTACAGTGGATTTATTTAAGAAAATGAAATTCACCCCAGTCTGTAGACGGACCCGCAGTCTCTAGATGTTTTCATGTTACCATGATCTTATAAAAAAATCAGCACTCTGAGATCTAAGTGGGATGTTGGTAAATAAATATCACTAAAGTTTGAATTTTTAATATATATTTTATATTTCATTAAAATTGCTTTTTAAAACGTGGAGTCTGGTATCTTGGCAATTCTAAGACCATTTGCCAAAATCATTCTGTATTGGAGCTTAGAGTATGAAGTGTCCTGTAGCATTTAGCGTTAATGAGCAATAACATGAAGGATAAAAGTTTAGAAAGTGGCAGAAAACTTGAACCCACTTAGAAGACAGCCAGAAAAATCAATAAAAGGATTATCAACTATTTTTAGAAAAGATGATTCTAAATTATTTTAAATACCTTTTTAAAAACTGGCACCTTGAAATGATTTTCTCCCCTACTTCATTTTGTTTTGTTTGTTTGTTTGTTTTGGCAATGAGGTGAGAAAAGACAGGAAGGACAGCTGGAAGTGCTTATAGCATTAAAAGGCAGACTAGCTGATGTCTTTTCTTGACCTAAGTTGGAAGTAATCAACTATTTTTCACTTTAAGAAAATCACAAATTTATAGAATCCACCACAAGGACATTTGATATCTTGGAGACTTGTAGTACTGGTATGCTGAAGTCTGAAGTTTATTCTAGAAATCTTTGGCACTTGGAAAGGGTTCAGGTACATTAAAAAAGTATGTTCTTCTGGTCGTAAAGTCAAGGTTATGTTAATGAACAAATATTTAAAGGTTAACTGTGAATGGGACCTGACTGAGTCTAGGTGCTTAGAGTTTGTTTCCCCTAAATTTTGTATTATGATTAGTAAATATTATACATTCTTTTTAAGAGAAACTTATGATGAAGGGCAAAAACATTCTATACTCCTTTTGTCTCAGTTAACCTCTTAGGGGAAAGTTTACCTTTTCACACTAGAAGTTTGCTGACATTGCTGCCTAATAATGCCTTACAAGGAACTGAATTGCCTCTAGAGGTAAAGTTAGACCCAGTGCTGGGAAGGGTCAGATATTGCCATCTCGGGTAAGAAACCCAGATGCCCTATAAAGTGGATTCAGAAAGAATTTTGTTCCGTGGTAATCACTTCGTTTGCGACCTTAGCCTGGAAGCTATAAAGAATGGCCAGTTTGAATACATTTTATTTCTTTTTGTTGTCTGGTTGCTGTTGCTAGAACTTCTAGCACTATGTTGAACAACAGTGGCAAGAGTGGGCATCCTTGTCGTGCTCCTGATCTCAAAGGGAAGGATGCCAGCTTTTCCCCATTGAGGATGATATTCGCCCTGGGTTTTTCATAGACAGATTTTATTAAGTTGATGAATATTTCCTCTATCCTGATACTTTGAAGAGTTTTAATCAGGAAGGGATGCTGTATTTCATCAAATGCTTTTTCTGCATCAATTGAGAGGACTACGTGGTTCTTCTCTCTTCTGTTATTGATTTGTTCTATCACATTGATTGATTTGCAAATGTGGAACATCCTTGCATCCTGGGGATAAATCCCACCTGGTCTTGGTAGATAATCTTTTTAATGTACTGTTGGATCCTGTTAGCTAGGATCTTGTTGAGAATCTTGGTTTCCATATTCATCAGGGATATTGGTCTGAAATTCTCCTTTTTGATGGGGCTTTGCCTGGTTTAGGGATCAGGGTAATGCTGGCTTCATAAGGAATAACATGGAGGACATAAGGAGAAGGGAAGGAAAAGTGAATTGGGGGAAATTGGAGGGGGAGACAAACCATGAGAGACTGTGGACTCTGAGAAACAAACAGAGTTTTGGAGGGGAGGGAGGTGGGGCTTGGGTGAGCCTGGTGGTGGGTATTAAGGAGGGCACGTGTTACATGGAGCACTGGGTGTGGTGCATAAACAATGAATCTTGGAACACTGGAAAAAAAAAAAAAGAATGGGCAGAAAAAGCCCCTGGCCTTTGCAACAGTATGCTAATCTCTGAACAGCACAGGATGGGAGGGCTCATTGCCCCCACATGTCAGTGCATGTAATAGGCACTCCCACAGGAGGAATGGGAGTGCAGCAGGTTCTGGAAGTAAAGTGCAGGTCCTCTCTTCTTGTGTAAACTATCAGTAATGATCCCTCTACTGATAACAAGGTGGATAGCAGCTTAAACCTCAGAGTAAACTTAGAAATCAGGTGATCCAACTCACTTAGATTTTAGAGTAAAAACAAGCCCCAGATTACGTCAAAGACTCTCCCCAACATATTTCTGCATGTTTAAATGTCCGTGTGGGACACGATAGCACTCCATGGATGGGAAGACTTGAGTGGGGAAGGATTAACAATAGTACCCAGTGTGCATGTGTTCTGCTGCCTGACTGGAAGACCTCTCGGGCCCCGTAGACAATGGCAGCTGCCCTCCTGACAGTGGCGGTCTAACCCGTGTTTCCTTTGAACTCTCGTGAGCAAAGCATTTGCAAGTGGGAGTTCAGTGTTGGGGCCCAAAGGAACCAAATATGGGGCCAGATTGCCATGGAAAAGAAAGGCTAACCCAACAGAACGAACAGTGTTGGCAACGAGCGTGCCTTTTCTTCATTATGCTAATTAAATCCTAAGAGGGAGAATTTCTAGGAATAATGTGTCTGTAGATGAGAAGAATTTCTTAGCCGCGGATGCCGTGCTTTAGAGGGTCCATCTTGCTGCGTGGCTGCTGGTAGTGTTACACTGCATACTCATTTCACCGTATGGGCTCTTCATCTCCTGTATTTTATGTAAAACAACTTTTACAGGGAAGAGAAGATCCTGATTGCAAAAGGAGAGGGAGATGCAGGGACAGTATGGGAAGCCATCAGTGGAAAATCCGCTGCGTTCCTTCTTCTAAGTCACATGCAAAGCCCCAGGAGAACAGCTTCCTTCCAGAGCTCACTTTAACAGTCTACACTGAATATGACATGCCCAGCCTGCATAGACAGGAATCCAGCTCCCTTGCTCTCCTGCTTCCAGCTGGAAGGAGGAATGAGGTGCCCCCATCCCCAAAGCCTCCCTTAGGGAGTCCTCAGCATTCATCAGTCAGCTCCTAGCTCGGGGACCCCACTGACATCTACAGCACTTCTGTTTAAAATAGAAAAAGGCCACTCTGGCCTACAGGTCTGAGCCTTATTTTTTATTTTCTTCCTTGTTAGGCAAACATAACACCTCCACCTCTCTGTGCAAATGATTGGCCCCACTTAACTCTCCATTTTCGCGGCTTCAACATAAATACCAGCAGAAAAGATCTCATCATTCCATACTACAGGGCCCTTTCATGGCTGAGAAGACCTTCCACTTTCACAGTAGTGAGCAGGGCTAATAGGAGCAGGCTCATTGTGCACAGAGAAGACCCCTTTCTTCATGCATAATCCCAACTGACTGGGGACAGCTGCGCTCAGGTGATCTACATGTAGTTCTCAGCGCTGGGGCATGAATCAGGGCCCCTTCCAACCCTTCTTCTAGCCTCCCAGCACTTGAGGCTTCTCAGTCCTTCCCACCCCATCCACCCTGCCCCCTGCCCCGCACACGGTCAAATATACACATGCATGGATGTGTCCTGCTCCAAGCAGATCTAGATCTCAAGGTAGAATCACTGTGCCTTTTCCCCCTTACTCTGCAGAACTTGTCTTTGTTTTCTGCCTACAAATCTCCTTTTGAAGAAAGGGATCTTTTACAGCAGATCTGTCTGGTTGGAGTGATGCTTCAGTGTAGATTATCAAAGTTAATAGCTTTATATTTATGTGCCCCAAACACAGAAAGACTTGAATTTTTCCCACTAAAATAGATGTTAAGAATTTGTAGTCTCATACTTTGGTTTGGGGGGACAAAATTGATTACAAAACTATTTCTGAACTTTGTTAATTAATTTCTTACCTGTTGCTTATTTTCGGGATGTAAATTTTACATTTAAAGTTGGATTTAACACAATATTCATTCTTTCTGCAGCACCTGAAATTCTTAGAGGCTGCGCCTATGGACCTGAGGTGGACATGTGGTCTGTAGGAATAATCACCTACATCTTGTAAGTGAAGAAAAGCAATCTCTATGGGTACTATTTGCCTTTGCTGTAATATTTCTTAGGTACTTAGAGGCCTCATAAAAAGCAAGATTACTTTAGACTTTTGTGATTTTCTTCTCTGATTTTCCTGGGGCCAGACTGTCTGTCCACGGCTTTTCTGCGCCTCATTCTGCAGTGCAATGTATAGCAGATTTGGGGAACAATTCCCTATTTGATGTTAAGAACAAATGGGAAACTCAGGTCCATATTAAACTTGCCCTTGTTTTACTTATTTATGTCTCATCAAAATACAGTATGAATCCTTTTTTAAAGGGCAAATGGCTCTTTAATCTCCTAAGCAATTCCAGACAGGGACATTTCTTGTCAGCAGTGTTTTTAATGCAGTTTGGCTATCAGTTTTGTTTTCTGTCTCTGTTATAGGTCCTCAAGGACCTTGAGTTTAATACCCTAAACTCAGAGAAGCCTTTTCTCTGGTAAAAACCACACACACACACACACACAACCAAAACAACTAAATCTCTCATTTTCTGGTTTTCCAAACTCCATTCCTGAGCTTCCGTCTACTAATAATAAAGGGGTTTCAGGCAGTTTGCTAAGGAGATGGTAGAATTGCAGAGGAGCATGAAGGAAAGCAAGGAGTGAGGAGTGTCTGAGAAGACTGCTGAAAAGCAGCCACAGAAGCAAGATATCCATGAGTTCCAGAGTTTAATTCAAAACAAGTAGCTTTGGCTGTCATTTGGAGGACACTGCACAGTTGCCTGTTGGAACCTGTAACATTCAGATCTACAAAGAGATTTTATAGGGTATAAAAGAAAGTGTATTAATCGGGCAGGCTGCCATAACAAACTACCGCAGGCTGGGTGGCTTCAACAACAGGCTTGTATTCGTCACAGTTCCAGGGGCTGGAAGTCTGAGGTCAGGGCACCAGGAGGTCCAGTCCTGGGGAGAGCTCTCTTCCTGGCTTGCAGACATCTGCCTTCTTACTCTTTCCCCACATGGCAGAGAAAAAAAAAAATGTGAGCTCTTTGGCATCTCTTCTTTTAAGGACACTAATCCCATCATAAAGCTGGCCCCCACCTCACGACCACATCAACCTTAGTTACCTCCCAAAGGCTTCATCTCCAAATAGCATCAGGTGAGGACTTCTCATCATAGGAATTTTAGGGAGACACAATTCAGTCCATAACAGAAAGAGGTTTTGGATTTTTGTTTGTTTGTTTGTTTGTTTAATTTAATAGTGATCTTAGAAAGTGCAGTGTCTAGGTAATAAGAGCTAGAAGGAAGGTAACTAGGGTACCCTCAAACAAATTAGTAAACTCTGAGTTTACCTGGGTATATTCAGTCATCTGTAGCCAAGACAAAAAGGTTTAACAAGCAACCCCAGTAAATAGCCATCTGCTATGATGTAATGTCAAAAGATAGATTCAGTATTGAATTCCTTGTGGATCCAAAATATATATACTAAAGCTTGAAAAGCATTTGGAGAGGTAGACAACCATGTTTTTTCTTATGAAAGGGCAAAATTGTTAGGTAATATATTTGCCGTATTAAGTGCTTAATTCATTAAAATGAATTCCTAAGGCCACATCATGGAATTCCTTCAGCTTACATCTGAGATCACTTTTATTCTGGGAAGAAAATGTTGGCTCCTGAGTTAGGTAGGTGACATATCATACTTAATGACGTTAAATGAAAAATTGCACTATGCAAATAACAAATCAGATTTGCCCCTAAAATGTTATTGTGCCCAACCAGTTGCAATTTCATGCTGAAATGTGATGGGGGGTGGGGGGTGAAGCATTAAGGATGTACAAGAACTTAAAGAGATGGAGAAATGACATCACATTCACCCTGAGAACCTGAAATATGGATGAATAAAATTCCATGACATGGTCACTGACCAGGGAAAATGAAGAGAAAAAAATGTGATTGTTGGAGAAACATCTTATCATAGCCCTGAAAATAATTTTAAAAGTCTTTCAAGGTCCTGGGGCTTCTGGTGGCTCAGCTGGTTAAGCATCTGACTCTTGATCTCAGCTGAGGTCTTGATCTCTGGGTCGTGAGTTCAGGGCTTACGCTGGGCTCCACGCTGGATAGGGAGCCTACTTAAAAAAAAAAAAAAAAAAAAAGTCAAGGTCCTATCCCCTGGTTCACATAAGGTCATTAAGTTAATAGTTGTTGGTTCAAAGTCCACAGTGGTAGCTCTTCAATGAAAATGTATTATCAGCGTTGCTTACAACTAATGTCCTTTAGTGTGGCCTCACTTCTGTCAGCTCCCAGGCCCAGGGTTGTTTTCTCTAATCTGTAGTTCATTAACAACTGATGAAGTCCACCTGGCAAGGTTCACTGGGACACTTCTCCAAGATCGTGCCATTGGACCTATATATCTCCTTTATTATTATTAAAAGTTCCATACGGCTCTTTTGTGCTATGACCTTGCTATTTCTACATATGACAATAGACTGGGAATGAAAGCCATTTTGTTGTTTCTCACAGAAATTCTGACCCCTCTACCTTTTACACCTAAACCCTTGGTACCTACAGACAAAAGCAACTACTACAATGCTCAGGTCAGAATCGGAATCAGTAACATCAAAGATTCAAACTCTCTCTTTTAGCTTTCAACACCACAGTTCTGCCCAGTGGCTTAAAGTTCCCCTATTATACATTCACTCTTCAGGCCTGTATAATCCTACTATCCTCCTAAACTATCATTGTCTTTATTCAAATATTTCCATGTCTGAAGGCTTTTTGCATGGTGTATATGTGTGTGTGTTGCTCTGTATCACATTGCTTCTATTTTTGGCATTTCAGGCTGACATGATATGAACTTCTTACTTCCATCACAGTGCACACATCCACAGGCATGTTTGAGAAGTGAGAACGGCATCTGAGTACCTTCTGAACTGTCATGTTTCTTTCTAGATTTCCAGAAGGGGAAACGTAAGAGTTTCTTAAACTAAGCCTCGAACATTGGCTAATTCCTCCACGACTAACTAAGAATAAGCTATACTTTTCTAGTCTCGTGGATGGCACAGGAATGGCCAAGTAAGGCTGAGCTACCTCCTTGTCGAAGTGTGGACATGGGCTCCCTTCTATCCTTATGTGGCAGCAGGATTCTCTGTGTAGACTGCTGCAGTGGGACAGGAGGACTCACTAGTCTGAGACTCAGCACTGCTAAACCCTGATTTTTCCTGGCGGGCTCTGGAATATTTAAAAAAGACAAAGACTCTCCCAACAGGACGTTCCCTGAGCAAAGGATGTAAGAAAATGCTTCTGTCTAGAAACCCACTACATTAGAATACACTCAAACATTTCATGCTCTGCTCCAACCTGACCAGCTTGAAGGAAGAATTTGAGAGAATGGTTTTTTTTTTTTTTTCGTGTTCATTCTTTTCCCCCCGTTTTTTGTCCAGTACAACACATGCCCTGGTAGGGATTTCTTTTTTATGGTCTCCTTTTGATCCCTAGAGATTTCAGAACCTGTATGTACCTGTCTGTAAACAGTGGAGGCTTTGGTGGGCCCCGAACAGCAACTCACTTCTCCTCTCTCCCTTTAGGATGCCAGAGATGATTCTCTAGTTCTCTTCTCCCACTTTCCCCATTCATTTGTAGGCTGACACCCTACTAGAAAATGAAGGTGAACGTGGGTCTTTAAGACAGAAGTGAGGGTCTCACGTGAGGCTGCGCTGACCCTAGCTACTCATCTCTGTTGGCCGTGTGTATTCACTGTGTCAAGTTTTAAAAGACCATTTCTTGACAACAGTCTAACTTCCTGTCTTTGTTCACTCTGAAATTCAAACTGGAGTGGGATGGAAATCTAATATTTGACTCATTTCTGTGGAGGAGTTCAGTGAATAGGGCTGAATAAAAATGACTGAAAAATCTTTTCTATCTACCTCTTAATCTCTTTACCCTCAAAAACTCCTCTAATTTTTGGGTGCCTGGGTGGCTCAGTCAGTTAAGTGTCTGCTTTTGGCTCAGGTCATGACCCTGGGGTCCTGGGATGGAGCCCCAAGTCCTCAGGCTCCCTGCTCAGTGGGAGCCTGCTTCTCTCTCTCACTCTGCCCCTTCCCCTGTTCATGCTGTCTCTCTCACAAAAATCAGTCAATCAATCAATCAGTCAACCTTTTAAAATCTCAAAAAGAAAATCCTGATTCTTCCACTTCCTAATAAATTGGAACTCTAGTCAATCTGTCTTCTCAATTCCTGGTTAAAAAAATTCCACAGCAAGTCATTAGTACAGTGCCTGTAATAATGTTAGTTATTATCTTTATTATTGTTTTGTGTCATAATTATTGATGTTATTATAAACTCTTTGTAGAAATGATTTTTTTAATTTAATTTTTTTCAGTGTTCCAAGATTCATTGTTTATGCACCACACCCAGTGCTCCATGCACTACATGCTCTCCTTAATACCCACCACCTGGCTCTCCCAACCCCCAACCCCCTCCCCTCCAAAAACCTCAGTTTGTTTCTCAAAGTCCATAGTCTCTCATGGTTTGTTTCCCCCTCCAATTTCCCCCAACTCACTTCTCCTCTACTTCACCCAATGTCCTCCTTTGTAGAAATTCTTAATCAGTTTGGTATCTGTTCTTACTTCCAGAGGACATGATTGTGTATTTATACAGTCAAAAGTGATTTATAACAAGGCAGTTACATACTTGTACTATGTAGACTTGCAATCATAACAGAAAGCTTGGAAAGGGCAGTCCGGAATTTCTGCAAAAATTTGATGAAATATATTTAGACTTCTAAAGACATTTTATTCTCTATCTTTTGTCCTTCTAGACTTTGTGGATTTGAACCATTCTATGATGAGAGAGGTGATCAGTTCATGTTCAGGAGAATTCTGAATTGTGAATACTACTTTATCTCCCCCTGGTGGGATGAAGTATCTCTAAATGCCAAGGACCTGGTAAGTGAGACCAAAACAAAATGAAGTAAAATCTTCACATTCTTTTTTTTTTTTTTTTAAGATTTTATCTATTTATTTGACACAGAGATCACAAGTAGGAGAGAAGCAGGCAGAGAGAGAGGGGGAAGCAGGCTCCCCGCTGAGCCAGAGAGCCCGATGTAGGGCTCGATCCCAGGACCCTGAGATCATGACCTGAGCCGAAGGCAGAGGCCCAACCCACTGAGCCACCAGGTGCCCCTTCACATTCATTTTTAACTAGTTAATGGGCAGTGTCCTTTTTAAAATTTTCCCCTCTTAATAATTGCATTTTTAATAAAACAATGTACATAATACATTTTTCTTGTAGATAATGAAAAATAGATATGCTTAACTCGTCACTTGCTGAACTATCACAATTAAAAATTACTGCATTTTTAATTAGTGAGATTTTACCACCTAGTCAATGTAAAACCTTGCTTTTGAAGCCAGTTGTACTGGGTAAATTCAGACATAATATAGAATTCCATTTTAACATGGCTTGCCTAGATTACCTAGATTTGATTATACAAACTTACTGAAATATCCCGATAACAGCACAAGTCCCTTACACGCCTTACTGGCATCATAAACAAGTTACACTCTACTGATAATTTATTTTGTTTGTTTTTTTGTTTGTGTTATTTGGGTCCTTGCTTAAGCTAATATTGAAGTTTATTTGCATAAAGGAAAGACCTACATTCTGGGGAGATGGCCCACCTGTTCTAAAATAAAGGGTATACTAGCATGAGATGAAAGCATTAACCATCATTCATCTAGAGAAAAGCCACACAGAAATAGCTAAGAGTTGACTTTTGAACCGCAGAAGGCTAGCTCTCCAAGGGATCTTATGAGTTATCTAGTCTTTCCTTCATCTAAAGTTGAGGGTGCTGGGGGCACCTGGGTCACTCAGTCAGTTAAGGTCACTAAGTTGGCTCAGGTCATGATCTCAGGGTTCTGGGATCTAGCGCCACGTCTTCAGGCTCCCTGCTCAGCTTGTGCTATGCTCTCTCGCTCTCTCTCTTAAATAAATAAATGTTAAAAAAAAACCAAAAAACAAAAAAGCAGACTTAAGGGTGCTGAAACCCAGAGAGGTAAAATGATTGTCCAAAGTCACACAGCTTCCCAACAGAATGAATGATCCAGGTTTCTAGGATCTTTTCTTGGAAAAGATCCTAGATGTTTGGAGGGAAAAGGAGAATTCTGAATTCTACTCTTTTCCCTCCAAACATTTCCTCCTTCCCATCCATGTTCTTTCGTGGAACAAACCCCTGTAGACCATGACTTTGCAGTACAACTAGGCAGAAAGGCAATGTGTGCAATGTATGGAGACATCATCCCAACTCCCCCCTCAAATCAGGCCCCACACTCCTAAATACCTCTTGAATCCACCTACTTCCCTCCACTCCACCACCACTGCCCCCGCCAGCCCTGGCCTCTCCTGCGGGACCACAGCCACAACCTCCCCTGTGGCCTTCCTACCTCCGTGGCAAATTTAGGTACACTCTCCACACAGGATCCAGAGGAAGGGCCTAATAAATAAATCACCTCCTGTCACTCTCCTGCTTTGAGACTCTTAGGATAAAATCCAAAATCTGTAATCAGATATACACAGCACCACCTGGTCGGGTTGGGAGTCCACTGCCCTGCCCATGCCGCCCATTTCACAACACTGTCCTCTGGTGCGCTTCACTCCAGGGCACCAGACCAACCCAACCCTCATCAGGATAGCTCAGGGTGTGGACCGCTACTCTTTCCTCTGCTTTGTACTATTCTTCCCTCCTTCCTTCCTCCCTCTCCCTTCCCAACATCTCTCTCTCTCTCTCTCACACACAAACACACACACACGCTCACACACACACCCCCTCTTGCATGGGTAAGTCTTATTTACAAGCCCTAGTTGCCATGTGACATCCTCCAGGTAGCCTTGTCTGCCCACCTTCAGCAGTCCCTCCTTCCCACAACTGCTTTGTTCCTTCTGTGACATTGTTCTGTTGCCCACTAGCCTTCTCTTTAATGATGGTTGCAACTTATATTTACTTGTGGAAAGAGCTTCCCTAGCTAGATTTTAAGTTCTGGTAGAGGTCAAGGCATATGTGCCCAGATCTTAGTACCCTTTGGGCATATAGTACAGACTCAATAATTTTTTTTTTTTAATGAAACGATGAATCAGGAAGTAGACCGCGGATTTTTTAAGGTCTGACACCCCTGGATTCAAGGACCCTCTTCCTCATAACCTAAAGGTGTGACCTGGGCCTTGTTATCTATTCTCTCTGCTTTAGTTTTATTTTCTTTTTTAAGGTTTTATTTCATATATCTGACAGAGACAGCAGCACAGGGAACACAAGCAGGGGGAGTGGAAGAGGGAGAAGCAAGCTTCTCTCAGAGCAGGGAGCCTGATGCGGGGCTCGATTCCAGGATGCTGGGATCATGATCTGAGCCGAAGACAGAGGCTTAACAACTGAGCCACCCAGGCACCCCTAGTTTTCTGTTCTGGGATGATTCCAGTACCTTTCTCTAGATTGTTGGGAGACTTAGGGGCTATAATGCAGGTTAACTGACTACCACCAACTAACACCCTAACAGTTCTTTATACAGCCTGCCTTCCTTTTCTTTTCATCGCCAATAAAAACTAAATGGGTAAGAAGGTTAGCTTTGATATTCCTTCATTCAGCTAAATCCTACCTTTGGGCTAATAAGTTTGTAAAACTTAAACACTAAAGGAATCCTTGAGTACCACTGATGTGTTCTTATCAGCAGCACCCGCATCCATTCTGAAATCAGCAGGGAACAGTGCCCATGAGTGATGGGGTCAGGTTGTAAGGGGGCTGTAGGATCATGGCAAGGCTTTGGGGTTGAATCTTGGCAAGGTCACTGGGGCTCTCAGACCTTCAGCGTGTTTAACAGTTCAGTGCATTGATCTCTTCAAATGTAAAGATTAACACTGACAGATGGGAATTTGGGGGAACTTGCTGACTTTCAGTAAATTCTTTGTATTTTCAGGAGGAGGAGGATGGTAATGATGAGGATGATTAGAAAATGGGAGGGAAAGATCTCATTGTGAATTGTTGTCAAGGATTAGTTACCATTTATACGAAATTACTTGGACATGTTTCCCACAGGTGACAGCTATGACTGCAATCAGATTTTTATTTACTGCCATGCATTCATTTTCCTTAATCACCTATACCTCCCACCACCTCCTCTCAGATTTTAAGCCTAAGCAGCCTCACATCTCTGTCCTCTACAAATTCTCTCTACCCCAAACACACATTTCTTTGCAACTTTTGTAGAAAAGAAGTAAGAGGAGAACCAGATATCTGTTCTCCATTTGATTTACCGCCTGATTGCACTAGCCTGCATTCAGTTCTTCTTAGCTGAACAGAGTTAGAAAAGATCTCGGGCCTTACATTCCACGAAGCCCCCATTCGCCACGTGGGCAGATGAAGGCCAGACGGTGGACTGACCTTGGAGGCACTGCGGTCTAGCGGCCACAAAATGAGCTCTGAGGTAAGACCGATCTTAATTGGAATAGAGCTTCCACCAGTTACAAGCTATCTGGCCTCAGTTTAGGCACAAAATCTTTCTGAACTTCCTTCCATCCCTCATTTATGAATTAGAGCTACTAGTTCCAAGTTGATAAGGTTATGGGAAGAATTACCAAGTTTTTAAAGATTTTCATATGTATGTAAGAATGTATTTACAAAGGAATGAGGTGGAGAAGAGAACATATAAGAAAAAGGCCTAGGAGAATGTTCATGGGCTCTCAATTCATATGTCGGTCTTTGTCCAAAGTCACAAAAGTGGGTAAGAGATGTAACGAGGTCTTGAACATGCCTCCTAACTCTAAGCAGTTTCTGCCTCATTCCATGTCACCCTGTCTGAGCCCAGGGCCAGGGATTATTTTGTTGGTTGATCTTCCTGGCCGTTTATTATCTGCTCATTCTCAGAATGGTCCGATACGGGTTGAATTTAGTACTTTAAACAAATCATGTCCCTAAACCCCTGACAGCACTTGGCTTATTCCTTCAAAACCTTCAAGATATTAGAATGAATTTTATCATAGAATCATAGGATAAGCATAAAGACTATATTATCCCTTTGTTACTATCTAATCCCCACAGATGGGGTACCTGGGTGGCTCATTCAGTTAAGCGTCTGCCTTTGGCTCAGGTCATGATACCAGAGTCTGGGATCGAGGTCTTCATCGGCCTCGCTGCTCAGCCGGTAGCCTTCTTCTCCCTCTGCCTGCTGCTCTCTCTCTCTTTCTCTCTCTCTCTGACACATAAATAAATAAAATTAAAAAAAAGATTCCCAACAGAAAGCATGATGAATGCACGATTCCATCTCCATTGCGATCCATCCAAAGTTCTGAATTCTAAGTGGTGCTAAGTGCAGCCTAGAATTATTCAGATGCTGGCTCTCCTTCAAAGACCTTCCAGTCCACAGGCAACCAAGAACCTGTTTCTTTGACCTCCCTTGGAAGTCGCCTGCCTGCCTGGCCTCTCAGGTGGCATAAGCCACTGTCTCTCAGACCTCCTCAACCACTGCTCCCTGAAACTCTCCTCACAGTGACCACTGAAAAGCTTTTTTTTTTTTTTTTTAAATGTATAGTTAGTGGTACTGCTAGGAAAATAGAATAAAACCGAAATGCTCACAGGCTGAGAGGCAAGCCTGGGTCACCATAAGAATCTCCCTAAGAAATCTATGGTTCTTTATCATTTCAGGTCAGAAAACTAATTGTTCTGGATCCTAAGAAACGCCTGACTACCTTCCAAGCTCTCCAGCACCCATGGGTCACAGGTAAAGCTGCCAATTTTGTACACATGGATACTGCTCAAAAGAAGCTCCAAGAATTCAATGCCCGGCGCAAGCTCAAGGTAAGATAGGTTTTGTTTTGCTCTGTCTTGTTTTGTGTTTTTTCTTTGTTACTCTCTTTCTTAGCTTGAACTGTTAAAGATAATTCCACTATTCTTCATCTAATAATATTATTCATCTCCTGTTGTACGAGGGAAAATCCTGCCTTGAAATCCCAGTAATACTGGTATAAAGCCACTGACAGTCATGTTATTCTCTCGTAAGAGTTCATTGTTAATAAAGGGAAATGCGTTGTAGGTTGAGAATTAACTCATCAAATATATAATCACTGCTTCTCATGTAATTAAGACTGTACTGCTTGAACAGCATTGCTCAGGAAACTGATACTCATTTTGAAAGTTGCCTTCTTTCTAAATAAGTGGAAATTGGGAAACTTTTTAAAAAAACTGTATCTTCTAATATAAATAAATTCCCATACTTGATGAAATTAAAATACAATTGACCTTTGAACAATGCTGGGGTCAGGGGCACCAATTACTCAACACAGTTGATCTATCTATGTATTACTTTTGACTCCCCAAACACCTAATCACTAATAACCTACTGTTGATTGGGAGCCATTACCAATAGTAGTCAATTAACACATATTTTGGATGTTATATATATTATGTGCTGTGTTCTTACAATAACACCTAACTTTTTCTTAATGTTTTGGGTATTTCTAGGCTGCACACTTTGTAAGTTTTTTCAAATTGTTACAGATCTCCAAAAAATGTTTCAGTGTGTCTGTTGAAAAAAATCTGCACATAAGTAGACCCTTGCAGTTCAGACCCATGTTGTTCAAAGGGCATCCGTAATTCACATGACGTAGATATATAAGATATATCTAAAATATAATTCATATGATATATCCAAAATGTATCTTTTTATAGAATATATATGGAATATATATTAGATGGGTTTCTCTTAATAATGGTGTTTAGGACTTACTATATCTGCAGAGGATTTCAGAGAACAGATGAGAGTCAAAAATAATATTCTATTTAGCCATCACTTACAGGCTGATAAAGACTAAATAAACCTTAAAAATTGTGTGATCAAACTGCTTTGAAATACCTTGGATTAAATAACCTTGGCGTAACCCAGGACTTCTTAAACAAACTTGACTGTGGAATTCTTTTGTTGTGTAATACTAGTGTTCCATGAAAACACTTTGGGAAACAAAGTCCAAAATATTTGAAAACAAGTGTAAGCTTTCACTTGTCCAGATGATTAGTAGGCCTGAAATTAAAAAGATTTTGCTGTTCATTCTTCAGAGGAGTTTTCATTCAACCATCTTGGAATATATTTTGAAAATATAAAACAGATAAAACAAGCTCCCTAAATGCAAAGGTGAGATTGAGCTCTGATTCAAGATTTTAAGTGGAAGTAACACCTGACACTTTTCTGTTTCCCATCAGGCAGCAGTGAAGGCCGTAGTGGCCTCTTCCCGGCTGGGAAGCGCCAGCAGCAGCCACAGCAGCATCCAAGAGAGCCAGAAGGCTAGCCAAGCATCATCTCTGACCCAGGATGGCAGTGAAGATGTTAAAGCTATTTTGGAAGGAGAGGAAGTTCAAGGAGGTGGGGCCCAAGTGGCAGCTGAGGGGGCAGAGGCTGAGCTGATGAAGGTACAGGCCATAGGGGAAGTAAAAGATGCTGATAGAAATGCTACCAACATGGTGCCCAAGGCACTAAAGGATAGGATAAAGGTGGCTGACCTGGAAATAGAGGAGGGCCTAGCAGAGGAGAAGCTGAAGACCATGGAGGAAGCAGCAGCCCCCAAAGAGGGGCAAGAAAACCCAGCTCTGGGATTTGGAGCTCAGCAAAATGATGTGATCCTGCCAGAGTACTGATCTGGTTTCTTCTCAATCTAGAAGTCAAATTCTGGCATCTTATGCATTTTGTCCTTCAGCAAGGAAGGTGTGGAAGCATGATATGCACTATAGTGATTCTGTTTTTTGAGGTGCAAAAAAAAATACATATCTATCAGTTGGTAATCCTAAACTCATGCATGTGACTGCTTTATGAAAAAATAGTGTCTTCTATGGTATGCAACGGATACCCAATGCCAAGGAGTTAAATTTGAAATCACAAGTAAACACAACATAACATTTAAAAACATACATGTTCAGGGACCAGTAGCACACATTGAAGTAACTAGTAAATTGTTATTGCTTTGAAAACCTAGTCATCATTTATCCTTTGGATTTCTTCATAAAGCAGTAATTCCTTTCGACTCTCGCTTCACTAATATTAGGTAGTGCTCTAAGATGCGTCCCATTGCATTCACGACATCATACTTTTCAGATGTGTTCAGACTATCCAATGTGTTCAAACTGTTTACAAGGAGATGGTTACAGGCTACAGTTTCATGATACGTACAAAAAAAATCCCACTTACAATGGTAAGAGATTGAAGCATACTTAAGGGTCATGAAACAGAATGCACTTAGAGCTTATGTAGAGAATGCTTTCTTATTTTGTCCTTATTTATACATACTATATTATGAATAACCAAAAATGTCCTATCACAAATTCCTGCCATTTTACAATCCTGGAGAAGGTATTTTACAAACTCCTGCTGAGGAATGTATTCCTTCCTTCCACTGCTAATGGCAGTTTCTTTCTCATGGAGAACACTTAAGGTGGGCTATGGAAATTGAGGGAAGAAGAGGGGCTAAGACCTGAACTTACACTCACAAAGGTTGACTGCTTGTCATTTTGATAAAATTGGATTTACTCATGAGTTTGTACAACTTTAAAGACAGTGACAGTTTTATGGATAAACTCTACAATTACCAAGTTTCAAATATTCAGAAAAATCTACCCCACAGGCTGGTGTCCAATGTCTGAATAGAGTGAGAATAATATTCCATTATAAGTTCATTCAATATAGACTTAACTAGATTAAGGAAACTTTTGTTTGTGAAATTCCTTTTTTCCTTCAGTTGATAGTTACCTTATGAACTATTGCTTATGAACTAAAGATATTTCTGAAAATCTGTTTTCTCTTTTTTTCATACTTGGAATAGTATTGCCCAAATTTTACCATGTAATTTTTAGTTTCCATGCCAAGAAATTTAGGACAGTGCAGCATTTTATTTACCTTAAAAAACGAAAAGAAAGCACTGATTTCAAATCAGACTCATGAGAAACTGTAATTATTAGACCTAATAATAGAATTATTAGACCTAATAATTCACCATGATTTTTTTCAAAGTATTTTTCTTTGATTTTCATATGAACACTTTTCCCCCATAGAAATCACACTTAAATTCCAAGGACTTCTATTTCTAGCTTGAGTTGAAGTGAACATTTTTATCGATTTATGCATCACAATTTTAAGTTTCCTCAGTTTTAAAAAAGGAATATTCTCAAAGACCAAAATGATGGACAGTAAAAATGACTGTCACAGAAAAATCCTTATCAAAAAAAGATCTTATATTATTTTGGCTCTTCCTCAAAACTGTGAAATTGGAAAACGAAATTAAATCTCCGGTTCCTGGGGGCTACTGGACCTTGGGAGACATTCTGCTTTCCAAGTGCAAAACTTCCTTCTTGAAAGGAGAAAAGGTAGGACTTCTCATCGTCCCTCATTTAGGGGCCTGGCAGTTGACCAACATGGACAAAGGAAAAAAGCCCTTAAGGGCACATCATCTGGATTCAGAAGAACATTTTTTGTTTGGATTTATTTTTATTAGCTAGTAGAGAGTACTTATCCTCTTCCTCATTTCTCTCCTTCCCTCTTTATCCTCTCTCGGAATTTCCATGTTAGTAATTGTAAAGGGCTCACTATTTTTAATCTTTAAGAATGCCTTTTTCACTAAGCATTAACATTTCCATGTAAGATCAGTTGCCTGGTATACTTTTCCTAATGAGACTTAACAGGCATACAGGGTAAGTGTCCCATATATTGGCAAAGGAAAGAAGAGAGGGAAATGGATCTTCTTAGAAGTGGTAATTAGTTGGAAGATCAGTACATACTGCCCCTCCTGGCCCCCTGTTCCAAGGGAGGGCAGTTGTTCTGTCATTCCATCGCTCAGGCCTGACTGTGCCTCTGGGCCTCGTGTAGCAGGAGCCATGAAGAAAGACAATCTTGAATTATGTTCCCATTAAAAATAAGTCTAACTGGAATCCCAGTGGTTTTTTTTCAAACTTTAAGAGCTCATTTGTCCCACAAATGCATAAATAAGGTAGAAATTAGAATAATATGATTGTAGAAGTTATCTAGAACAAGTACTGTTATTCCAATGTATAATCAATATGAAAACTCAATGAGATATTTTGAATTTTGAATTTTTATACTAAGTTTTCAAAATCAGGAGTACATGTTATACCTTTAGTACATCAAGTGCTCAATAGCCACATGTGACTAGTGGCTAATGTATTGGAACAAAACTGTTCTATAGTACTTCTTAAGCAAGATGACACATGGATTGCCAATGCTTGGATTTGAGCTGCCTCAGTTTCAACTGAGTTGGTAGGAGGCCAAAAAGAAAATGGTTCAGAAGTATCATAGACTGAAATAAGTAAAAACTCTTGGCCACATCTGCTTAATCATGTGCTTCAAAGGGTTGTTTCCCAACACGACTTTTAGAAAACAGTACTTTCCTGGGCATTGCAAAATTGTCTGTTGGCTACAATCCCTCGAGTCCTCCTTTGGGCCCTGGAATCTTGACCACCGTCTAGAGTCTCCTGAGTACTGCCATAAAGTCAATAGTATTCTTATGTATGAAAATTTACTGTGAGCAATCCATGGGCCCCCGTTCAGGAGGGACGGCACAAAAAATGTTAATAGGATTTGTAGGGCTGGACTAAGCTGGGCATCATTTTCTAACAGGCAATCTTTCTACAAATCTACTGAAACATACCAAATTTGCATGATAAAGATTATATGATGATGAGGAGGATGATATCCCAGTAACTCCCAAAATGGGAATGATCACCGGCTGGCATTTTTTAGATTTCCTTAGAACGATTTAATCAACACTGCCATTATACATGGATTCAAAAGACTTAGAATTTTCTTACATACTGCTATTTTAGAATAATCCTCAAGGTTCTATAGCCATTTTTAGTGGCAAACTTAAAAAAGAAAGGAATAGCTTGCCTTTTACTGTGACCTCAATTACATAGTATTTTAAACACATTTTGTAATTTAGAACGTCTAGCAATCCTTATTTCCAGTTTTACATGCAAGGTAACTGCTGGTGGGTTGCCTACAGACCGAAGATTGAAAGAGAGCCATTTTGTTTCATAATTCAGTTTTTATTCCACAGAAGCATCTGGTTGCATTTCAAATTGGAAAACAGAAGTAAATGCCAGAAAAGGCAAAGAATAAAATTAGTAAACCATTTATTCGGTTTTAGGATTGTTCTTGCAAAGTAAATGAAAAAAGGAAAAAAGTCAACGAAGTGAATCAGCACTCGGTTTTTCTGGATGAAGGTTGACGCCACATAAAACTGAAATATAATGAGCAGAGTCATTTACATAACTACAATGCCATTATGTAATTTACTTGTCATTGCAGAGTATTCAGTCTGGTTATGTAGGTCTACTTTAGATGGTGCAAAGTTTCCAGACATTTGCCTACATAATAGGCAATGTAATATCCTTGCAATTACTGTCTATTAGGTCATATTCCAATTTCCTTAATGTTCATCATGGATATGTTCCTGATTAGGGTCATTGTTATCATCTGAGCATTTACTGGTTAAATACTGCTTAATGGCTAGACTCTCTGTATGTCATCGGTGTTTTTAGAAACATTTATGTGCATGCAAACACAATGGCATTATAATATTCATAACCATATGATAAGCAGAAATGTACCCAATAACTTTCTATACATTTTTTTCAAAGTCCTTTTCTTCCCCTGGCACAACTCAGGGTGAGATTCTGGCTCCTTGAATAAGGGAAAAAAAGACCACTGGAGAGATACCAGCTACCCACCATGGTTACCAAGTTCAGCATTTTCTCTTTCTACATTCTCATCTACTAAGGGCCAGTTTTTGTCGTTATTACTCCTTTCAGATATCACCTGAGTTCAGATAATACAATCTCAGCTCACAAAGCCCAACCATTTATATACTTACCTTGGAGAGCAATAACAAACTTGACTAATTTATGTTGGTTTGTTTAAAATTCCGATTTTCATAAATGCTTGTGATATACTCTAGAGGATTTGATTGCATGATTTTAACATCCTTCAAGACTCAGCCTTTTCCCTATCACCTGGCCCAGAGGTCCACCTAGAGCAAGATGGAAGCCTTGAATGAGAGCGGACCATCTGACTCCTTTGCAGGAATCAGACATTACTCAGAAGACTCCAGGTGTCCGACCTGGTGGAGTTTAAATGAGCCAAAAATGGAAAGAAAGCTCTTCCCATGCCCTGACTGAAAGTGATGCTATTTGAATATTGGTATATTGCCATTATTCAGTAATGAGAAAATGGGACTCCACCAGTCAGCTACCCTTTCCCATATCTTGGTTTGCTACCGCTTGTCCCAAATCAATGTTTTGCTCCATCCTTCTGGCTGTCAGGCTGCTCTCTCAGCTTGTGATATCTTCTAAAACCCGGAAGGAAGATCCCAGACTTGCTGGAGAAATGCAGGGCCCTTGGTGGCCCAGAATTTAGTCTGAAACTCTGAACAGCAACGCTAAGGCTACACAATCATGCTTGTTCTTAATAGTTGTTTTCAGCACATTTTGAAGATTGACCTGGAAAATCCATTGGTATGGAATGTTTATATCTGTGTAATCTTTCCTATGACCCATTGTTAAAAATGACAGCTATTTAATCTTCAGTCAGTTAAAAATAGTATTTCTTTTCCATTTAGGAGATTATTTGGGGGCACTCAAATACGATGGGCTTCACATTAGAATTTTTGAAAGCTGTTTTTTCCCTAAGTGTTCTCACTCTGACAACAATTTGTGGATAAAAATTTACTAGCTTGGTCCTTTCTTTGTCCTTTCTTTGAACCATGTATAGTAGTTCATCTGGTTTGTAAAAGATAAAAATATGACTATAAATTGAAAACTGTCATAACTGCCTCCTGTTAACCTGACCTGTTTTATTGCCTATCATGTAGCAACTCATAGTAACATAGAGTACAAATAGCATATTCATGAGTTATGATTTTGTTTACTTTTTATAATCAAGGTTATTACTTGAGTTACAAGTTCTCAAGGTGTTTCTATTCATACACCCTTAGTCTCAGTATTATTTCATATTTCTCAGTCCTCCCAAAGCCAAAAAAATTATCTAACATGTCCATTTATTAATTAGGTAGGCCCACACAACATAATAGTAGTATTGTATTCTGTATCTGATAGATACTGCTCTATTTCCCTTGAAATTTTAAAATTTCTTGTGAGTTCACTGATAGGGAACAGCAGACAGGGGTTTAAGTAATTCCTTATGCCCAGTGAACTAAGCATATCAAGGAGAAGGTATTATTAGTATACATGAGTTAGAAGCGACTGTTTATACTTTCTTATTTGATTATCAATCATTCTTTTATCTATGGTTTTTACGAAATACGCATAAAACTTATATGTACATTTTTAAAAAAGCAATTTCCACATCATTACCCAAGGAAATAACTTTAAATCTCCAAAGAACAATTTTTAGGAATCAGGCAAACTATGCTTCACAGACCAAATCCACCAGAGGCCTGTTTTTATAAATAAAGTTTTTATTAGAACACGACAGTGCTCATTTATTTATATATTGTCTGTTGTTTTCACACCACTAAGACAGAGCTGAGAAGTTTTAAGAGAAACTGAACCGGATTGCCCAGCAAAGCCTAAATTGTTTCTTTCTCTACAAGAAAACAAAACAAAACAAAACAAAACATTAAACAATAACAACAAAAAAAACAACCTGATGACCCTGGTCTTTCATAGCACCCAATGCTTTTTTGCTGACATCTAGGAATATTGATTCCCATGGTTTCCTCTACTAAGCTTAAGGTTCTTATTTCCAGAGGAAGCAGGAGAGCTTTGTTTCTGTAGCAGATGGCCTCACAGCAATAATTGTGCTGTATGTACAACATAACAATGAAATATCCCTACAGAACTAAAAATTCCAAATTGCATCATTCCTGAAAAAAGAAATTTAGAGTATGAAATGACCTGGTTAAGAAAGAGGAGAAATTAAAAAGATTTCTAGCATTTTGAGCATGTTTTAGAAATTTGATCACTATATTTAAAATCATGAAAATGATTTCTTATACTGATACTTGCTCACATTTAAGTCAATCTTCAGCTGTTACTTCAGTAAAGGAAGAAATAAGAGTGCCCTTTGGTTCTGAATCCTTCAGAATGTTCTTAAGTAATTTTATATCTGCTGGATTTTCATTTAATCATTTTTAGGAAATAATATGCTTTATTATTATGTAGCTTTCTATGCGTATGGCAGGCTCATCAATAGCCCAGGGGGAGGCAGACAGCCAATTCTTTTATGTAAGGAAGCTACTTTCCAATCCCCAATCTCAGTGATCTGGGAGATACTTCATTTCTTTGAAAAGAGAGGGCCTTGAATAAATGCTTGCTTTTACTTTTCTCACATACTCAGAAATCCAAGAAGGGCGCTTCTCTTAATCTATTTGTGTCACAGAGAAATGATTCATTCCACAATAAACTGCCTTAAGGGAAGCAGATAACCCAAATATTGAGAAATGTAGGCATCCATGACCTTTGTTGACTTTGAACATCTGTAGCCAAAAGGTTACAAATGAGGTCTTGCATAGAAAACCTATTATCAGCTTATTATTAGGAACATCTAAGATAATGTCATGACTAACTAAACAATATGCTGTTTTCTTTAAACTGTTGCAATAATTAATAGGATGTATCATCAGGATACACTATAGAACTCAGGGTAAAAAGGAGATGAATTTTCTGCTCCTTCTTCACAGTTCCTGTATATAAGGAGACTTCACTGGAATGGGAAAGGGAAGAGATAAAAAGATGAGGACCATGCTCCCACCTGCCTATTTTTATAAATGATCAGTCAGACCTTGAAGACAATTGTTCAGACTTAAATTTACATTTCTACATTTCTCTCAATAATTGGGTCACCTGCTTCCCTTAGATATGAATAAAGTCAATAGCTAAGTTTCCTCTCAGAACCAGACACTAAACAGTAGTACTAGTTTAGGGGATATTAGGCCTACCTCACAAGCACATTTTAAGGAAATTATGTGCCAATTTTGAAGCTTTCCAGTATGTCCCAGGCACCCATTTTCTCAGTAAATTTTCACTGAGAAACATTTATGTATGATGAAGTAGTTCAGAGATGAGCCCAGTGCTCCCCTCTAGGAGTGAGCTTTGTAGTTGGAAGAGAAAAAATACAGGTGTACATACGTAACCTGTGTTAAATCTAAGCAGGCAGTAAGTCCTCTAGGGATGCAAAGAAGGAGAAACTCCCTTCTGCCTGTAATGATGCTCTAGGAAAGCTTCATGGGAACACAGGCTGGATTTGAAGGCTGGGGAGAATCTTTGCAGAGAGGGAAGAGAAATCTACAGAGTGGAGAAATGCCAGGCCCAGTGGTGAAGGAACAGCACCTGTGTGAAAGACTAAACTCTGCAGGGAAATGTTCCTAAGTCTGCAGGAAAGTCTTGGAACTTGTACAAAGTTTAAATTAGACCTCCTTTCTTAGTCTGGGTAGATAAGTGTGCAGCATTTCCTCAGAGCATCCAGCCCTCTGTGATGATCTATATGGAGATGGGTTAATTTGGTGCATTCCTAAGTAGAATAAAAAAATCACCCAACACATCCAAGACAGTTTTTCAAGTCACCCATTGAAGCAAAGCCTCTGTCACTAAAAACAATAGCACACAATGAGTGATTTCTGAGTAAGCTTTGCAAAACCCCAATATCTGAAGAACGCCCTGGGACTCTAGAACATCACCTAACCACCTGCTGAAGTTTTCCCAGTAGAAGCCCACGTCACGGTTCCTTCTGTCATAGTTATTTTCACCTTTAAGTTATCAGACCTGAAAGGGCGATCCCCACTGGGATAGAATCACACTTGAAAGTTTAGACTTCAAGATGACTTGTAATAAAAAGTTAAGTCTCCGGCAACAAAATGTGTAATTTTCACAACTGCTTTCCCCAAACATCAAGCTGGCCCTGTCAAGGCCTCTCTCTTACCTCCCCCTCCCTTTTGTCTCTTGACACACCCTTCTGTAAATTCCTTTTTACATCACTCACTGCAGGCAGTATTTGACTTCCATCTTCAAGAAACTTATTTTTAAAAAATATTTACTAACAAGTCAGATTACACCTTATATATCCTTTTAGTAGTCTTGCCACTTTGTCTCAGATATTGTCTATGATTAGTGAATGGCTGCATGACTCCTCAGGGCCCAATGAAACAACAAAGGTTGGGACAAAGAAGGGACAAAGGTTGACTATGATCCCAGGGATGGAAAAGAAGCAAAGACAGATACTGTCTTAAGAGAGATGAAGAGAAGCTAAGAGCTACTGTGAGTGCATGGAAAACCCAAGTTAGCAGGCATTGAGAAAGGAATACTTCTTACCGGGGTTTTTCGGGCTTGTGAAATGATCTGGTATGTCTTTTCTCCTCTGACCTAGAGGAAAAATTTGTACTTGTGGGTTGTTGAAAGTTTCCTGGCCTAACAGGACATAAGCTCAGAGCAGCACAGAGGAGGATTCGATTGACGGAGTACTGTTAAATACAGGGAACCTCCACATGCAGTAGTTTGGACTGCCAGTCATTAGCTAGAAACAAGTGCATGTAGGATTGGGGGACAAAGATAAAGTATAAATATTTCAGTTTACTCAGCCAAGGTCACAGGCCACCTTCCCAATGTCTGACTGAAAAGTACTGAAAAAGGAGCTGTGAACATTTCATTTCTAAAATCTGTCAAAATGGTGCTATTGACTCCTTCATACAGAGATCTATTATAATATTTTTTAGATAACCATGTAAGCTGACCTAGGCCATAATGTAAATACAGAAAATGTTTGTAGAGAATTCATCAAAATCATGCCTGTTTACTTTTGATTGAGCTTCCCTATTCTTCAGTGGCAGTGACTGACTGTGAGTCCCTGCTCCCCACAGATGGGACACAGAGTCCTTGGCGCTCTCAGCTGCCCAAAGCCTGGGGCAGATGACAGAGCCGTAGACAACTGCTTCTTCTTGGACTCAGGTTGGATAACCTGATTAAATGACTAAACATGCTCATTTTTTTGGTGTTTCCTAGGAACATGAAAGAAAAATATGTGACATGTGGCAGGGCCAATGTTACTTTGTGTTAAGTTCACCCAGCTATGTCAGAGCATGCCAAAAGAAGCATATACCTTCCTACTGCGAACTCTGTAAAGCAATTTGCATGTACGGTATGATAATAAATCATGTAAGAGCCCACCAAAACTTGCATTCTGTCATTTGAAGCATTACTGAAATTTGAGAGTGACACGACGGACATTTTCTGTACCTGTGAAATAGAGAGTTGAATTATTTTCCCATTCTCTGAGATAAAATTACACTTTGAATTTCACAGCATCTTTAAACACTATATGGTGATGTCATGAAAGTCATAAAATTATTATAATTAAAAGGGGACCTTATTCATTATTTAATCCAACAAGCTCATTTTTATTAAAGAGAAGTGAGATCCAGGGAGGTAATGACTTATCGGAGGTCATAGTTCGTGGCGAGAAGAAAACAGATCTGGGTTGCCCATCTCCTAGCCTAGTGCTCTCACTGCTGGAAAATCAGTTCACTGGATAAAAGTTAAATGCAGCACTTCATAGAAAAACAGATTTTCCTTTATAAAAATTTGAAATTATAGAAAAGTACAGTCACCATAACACCTTCCAAAGGCAAGCACTGTTGTTTTTCCTCTAGCATTAGTTTACTTTTTTCTTACAGACTTGTAATCGTATTATAAATTTTTTGTACCAATGTATCCCTATAGCACAACCATCTCTATATAATCTTCACAAACATTTATTATATTTGCATAATGATTCAGTCTCAATGCTTTTTCTTTTCTCAGTAATAGTACATAAAGCCTTTTCTGTGTTGGGAAAATCTATCCTAAGGAAATAATCCTGATGTGGAGTTGCTAGTTGCTGGACCAAAAGGTATTTAATGGTCACTTCATGATGCTTACAAACCCACAGGACCTGAGAATGAGAGGCAAAAAAGTGCACGTTCACTCTGAAGAAGCTGATTGCATGAGTTGTAAAAAGAGCTGCAAGTCTTGAGCGTGGCCCTTCAATCAATCGTTTGTATGAAACATCTGAGGGGAAAAGGCTTCCTCTCCAAACTGTAGCTTGCTATTACCATTAGGTCCAAAATCCTTGCTTTGTTGAGAAGACACACTTACTCTAAACAGTGATTTCTCAACTGAGGGAAATGCTAGAGAAAAAAAGAAAGAAAGAAAAAACCCTCTCCCATCTGCGAGTCCATTTTTCATTATATAAACATATTTTTATTTCAACCTTGTTTTTGTACAATCTCTGGACTTTAATAAAAAACCAGCTGCTTTTTTATGTAAGGGATGTCACAAAAGCAAAATATAAGTTGGAAGGTAAAGTTTCTGGAAAAGAACACTATCCAAATAAGGAATAAAAAGCCTTATTTAGTACTTTCACGCTACGCTTCCAACATTTTTACAGCAGAACAGTTCAGCCCCTTAATTACCTGCACAGCTGATAACACAGATCGCATGGCTCTACCCTCCACCTCCTGGGACACATTGGCAGTTCCTGTTTTCTGACAATTTTCTGTCATCTCATAGCTACAGAAGGCTTCATCCGTAGTAGATCTTTTGCTCCAGAGGAATAAAGTTAACATTTTCTATTATTATCTGTAATATAACAATATTATATAATCTGAAAATATTATGGGGTAATAGAAACGAAGGTCATGCATGTTGACCGTCATGTGACTCCAGCCATTAATTAACCATGTAGAGAAGAAGCTCCATTGCTTCTAAGGACAGGTATGTAGTGTCTGCCATGAACAAGAGGTCCAATAAATTTTTCATGAAGCAAGTGACTACTTTGCTATTTTCATTTCTATTTTGGTAGTCTATCAGTCTCCTATTGACATCTGAAGGAGGCTTACACCTGCTCTCCAGAGATGATCCACTAAAAGATGCTATGGTTGGCTATCCAAAGAATCATTCATCACCATCCCTCTCTTCAAGGGGCTGGAAATCCTTCTGCTTGACTCCCCAACCACCCCTTCAGCAAGGGGTGGTGGTCATGTGGCAGAGACTACTGGAAAGGAAAGCTAGTGAAGGTTCCTGGCAAAGTTTTTGCTTTCCGAATGGGTGGTGCCAAGCCTTCCCCTGCTTCTTAACTTGAATGCGCATATAAGTTCCAGGGGTAGTCAATCATCTTATCATTATGAGAGAAAGAGAACTGTAGAATCCCTGGCCCTGACATCTTTGAGCTGATAAACACCAAATTACCTATATCCAGATCCATTATTAAATGAGAAAAATAACTCGTTTGTTTAAACCATTGAATAATCATATTTTCTACTGCATCCTGCCCACAGCATCATGATTACTTCCTGATAACACAGATCGAGGCTCTTTGTGTCATCACTTCCAGCTTTCTTCAACTTCAAATGAAATGATCACAATTTTTCATCAAGTTAACACAATTATTTAAATATATGTACAATAAACCCTGTGTATATGTTACTATAAGGGAAGGACACCTTTGTCATCCTGGCTGTACAATAGCAAACGAAAATTTGGCAGTATTTGGGCTAATATTCTATGAGACTCTGGTGAGGGATTAGCATATGAATTATTAATCCTTATTTTCCAGTTTATATTTTTCTTTTATAAGAATATAAGGAGTTACATTACATATTTTAAGTTCACATGTGAGAAACTATTTTTCAATACTGAAAGTTAAAGCAACTTAGACTGTATCAGTGATATAAGAGTGTCCAGTAATTTATTCTGATATTTTTCATACCAACTTAAAAATAAATACACAGCTTATTTATATTAAAACATGCTTTTAGTTTATTAAAGGTTTTACATACTGGCTCATAAAAGAATTATAAACTTCTTAAAAAATAAAATTTATACATAGTATAGCTTTTATTGAATTATATGAGATGAACATTTATTTATACATGTAAAATCTTTGGAAACAACAAAATAATGAAGAAACTAAAATTACAACTTCCTGTGTTTCTTGTATGCTCAGATCCCACCTTCTAGAAGCTGTTAAGTAAGAAAGGCAAGGGAGATATACCAGACAAGTGATTATCCGACACACATTCTGATGGAAACCTGGTAAAGTCAGCTAACTCCTCTGGGTTTCAAAATTTATCCATAAGGTGGAGAGAGCTACAGGATCCATGTAAGTAAAAGGATCTGGATTTTAACCACTGATTCTAAGGGGGCCAGTGTGCTCTTGAGTCAACAGGTAAAGCTCTTATCTATATCAAAAGAAATGATTCATATCCAAAAGTTTGACAAACAATTAAGGGCTTAAATTGTGTAATGTTTTCCTATCTTCCCCAGAGGCAACCTCAATTACAGAATTTTTAGTTTGAAATGTGAAATTAATTCAACGTGAGTGCTGATAATATGCCCTTCAGTTAGTAAAGAAAGGTGGAGGAGAAAAAGAAAGAAAAGTATTTTTACTGGGAGATAATTTTACATGTAGAAATCTACAATTTCAAATACATTCAACCTCAATGAACAGTAAAAAGAAGATACTCTAGCAGTTCATATTATACATCACTGCAGACACTAAGTTCCCACAATTATTTTTGCTAAGTATTGCACTAAACTTCAAGGGATAATCAAGAGTTATCAATACAAACTAAAACTTCACGCAAAATATCACACGATAAATCACGATTTTTTTTGTATGAAACTAATGTCCTTAAAAAAATAGGTAATGTGTACTGAAAACAGTACTATGCCAATATTTCCCACATAAATAGGTTTCTAATGCAAACTAGCTATAAGCTAGAGAAAATAAACAACCACCCAACAAGGCAGACTGTATTTTTTTTGTTTCATTCATTGCCTTATGAAAAGGGTTAATTATCTTTAAAGGAAAAGGCTTTTTTGGCTATAATTTTTATTTTATTAAGTTATTAATTGACTTATTTCTAACATTCAAAAGTCCCCATTTAGCAAGCACTGAAGGCTCCAGACCAGAAAACATTTTGTGTTTAAAAGTGTAATTCCATGAAATTCATTACTTCATACTGTAAAAAGATAAATTAGTACATACACTACAGGTCTGTGCTATTCAGTGCAGACCAGTGGCCTGATGTGGATAATGTACATTTAATATGGCTAAACCAAATTAGTAAAATACACACCAGATTTCAAAGAATTAGTACAGAAGAATAATAGGAACTATCTTAATAATTGTTTACATTGATTACATGGTGAAATGGTAATATTTGGGATCTACTGAGTTAAATAAACTATATTATTAAAATTAACACCAGTGGTTTCTTTTTATCTTTTTAATGTGACTACTAGAAAATTTTAAATTACATAGTATATGGCTTACATTATTTTTCTATTCTATAGCACTGCCACAGAAACAGCAGACTCAATTACATGTTAATATTAATCCCAACCCGTATCATTAAATTTTTGTAAAATTACGGTATTTGAGTTAACATTGAGTTAAAACATATTTAACCCATTACTGCAAAAGGCCTGAGCTTAGAATCAACTATGCCTCTACGCTTAAAAACAAAACCAGATAAAATCTGCTCTAATCTTTTTCATCTTCTGTGTATTGGCAAGTGTGCTAAACTTTGGTTAGAGTCAGCAAACAGGCAAAAAGGGTCTTTCTGGTTGATAGAAATGTTCTAAAATTGGATTGTGGTAATGACCGCACAACTATAAATGTATTCAAATCACTGGATTGTATACTTCCAGCCAGTTAAGTTGTACAGCTGTAAGTTATACCTCAATAAAGCTGTTTAAAAAAAAAAAAAAGTGCCAACTAGAGCCCAGCAGATCTAAAGTGCCATCTAGAAACTGCATATAAATTTCTGGTGATTCAAATATTATTTTAATCTATCATATGACTCAATATTGCAACAATTTTTTTCCATGAGGGTCCTTTTATGTGCAATGGATCCAATTCAACAGTAGATTATGTGATCACTAATTGAGGTATAAGTTGAAAAAGAGAGAACGTTAGAGTCGCTGAGGGGATAATTCATTTGCTTTAGGGGTACCCAGCTCAGGCAATCTTATTGCAAATGCCTCACACAGTCTGGGCACCCTATAATTGGACATCCATTGGCATTTCACCAAAACAGAATACTAGAATACAAAAAAAACCCCATATTAATAAAAGAAGAAGAAGAAGAAACAAAACAATGGTTACAGTAAGTACCATATGAAGAATTCACACTGAACAGGAAGATAGATTTCAAGACATGTGCCCAAACACAAATATAAACACAAACATTTGCATGGATATACTGAGTTGCCTCGAGGTCTCATTTAAGAAGTAAATCAGGTGATTATTCAAAAGCCAGAGAATCATCTGGAATGTTAAAATCATTCAGGAACGTTCATTTAAGGCAGCCACAGAAGCAAGGGACCTAATATAGTCCATGCTAGGTCTAAAATGACTCATCCAGGCATGTGGACAAATCTATGAATGTATTTGTTAAAGTTCCAGACTGAAGTTATGTCACAACTGTGAATGTCTATGATGTAGCTAGAAACACTTTATGAGGTGAGTGATATTTTAAAACTGAAACGTGAGCATGGATCAAGTAAGACTGAAAATGTGATTATTTTCCTACAGAATATCAGATACTTCTCAGAATTAAAAGCTATTTCTTGAGGGCTTATCTTAAAAAAAAAAAACCCAACAAACTGAAACGTGAACAAAACTCTCATTGAATTTGTTTTCTAGACAATTTGCTGTTGGTGAATATAGGATACCACCAGCCAGTTCACACAATCCAATCACTGTGGTGTCCCCAGCACATATGTTTTTTGTACATTTTATTCATGCATAAATGCTTTTTAGACCTTCCAAAATAAATGCACAGAAAGATACAAATACATTTTTAAAGATATCCACAAAATAATGTTGTCTAGGTATCAAAACAATTGTATTTGAATTGTATCTATTCTTACTGTATCTATTTTTTCTTATTTTTTTAATACTTAAAGTAGTACAAGTCACCTGACAATGAAGCTCACCTTTATAAAATATAAAGAACCTTTTTGTAGTCCAAGATATTGGCAAACTCACAGAGCATACCAATAGTTAAGCACTAATATATAACTTCCAAAAATAGTTAAAACTTAGAAAATGTTCATAAATCTCTAAAACAGATGATTTTTAACTAACAGCATGAAGCTTGTGCTTTCTCTAATTTCCAAGTAGCCAAAATATTCATACTGAGGCAATATTCAGTTTCTTAAGAGTTCAGGTCAAAGAAGTATACTACTTCCTCATGGACGTCTGTCAGACTCTCCATGCTTAGACACACTGCTGTATCAAACACCATGCAAATCACCACCTAATTTTCCTACAGGCTACACAGAAGAAAGGAAAGGATGATTTTCACAGGCCATGAAGCTGAGAGAAAAAGTTGATTTGGGGGGACTATCGTACTACAAGTTTAAACGTATTATGCCTTTTGTAGGGCTTTTTGTAAATCACCATAGAAGTTGATTAAAGTGCTGGCCATGGCTGTATCTACCGCAGACTGAGGAATCATCCCACGCAGATCCGTCTGAATGTAGCCTGTCAAAAGACTTTGGTATGGACTGTCTTTAAGCGGAACACAAAACCAACCACAGGGATGGTTATAGCCACGAATAAATTCTGGTCTCTTTTCATTCCAGTCAACACTTAGCCCTACAAGGAAATTTTAAAAATAACACCATTAATGGCAGTGACTGAGATTAGTCTACAACTCTCATTAAACAATATTATCAGATTTCCTGTTTAAACATTTTTTCTTCTTATCCATGTAGATGAAAACTAAGCCCCAAGAGTGACCATGGAAGAAGAAAAAGATAATTACCAAGTAGAATTCTGGCAGAGGGCTAGAGGTAATGGGGAAAGTTCTAATCCCATCAGAATAGGTAACATTATGTCATCTTGGTAACTCCTTGGAAACTATGAATCTTGGCTTAGCATCCAGGCCTCAAGGTGCCCAAAATCAAAACGACAGTACCACCACTACTCCCTAAAGACACTACTACATCCAACTTTGGTACTGGCTGGTTAAGAGTTAACAAGTAGATATTTACCTAAAACTGCCAACTCAAGTGTATACTATACACAGAAAAAGACTGATTTCCCTATAGATATATTTTAGAAAGCAGGAGCCTTCTAATAGCAGTATTATTCTTTTTTTCTTTAAGATTTTATTTATTTATTTGATAGAGATCACAAGTAGGCACAGAGGCAGAGAGGCAGGCGGGGGTTGGGGGTTAAGGAAGCAGGCTTCCTGCTGAGCAGAGAGCCCGATGTGGGACTCAATCCCAGGACCCCGAGATCATGACCTGAGCTGAAGGCAGAGGCTTAACCCACTGAGCCACCCAGGTGCCCAGTATTCTTCATTTTTAGAAGAAAAATATTACACAGCTCAAGGAAGGAAAAATATTCTAACACATACCAGTGTGTTATGTATATGACCAAGAAGCTGTTTTCTGAGAGTGACTTAATCTATTTACTACAACCCTTTCTCAGAGGCAGGCATGTGATTCATATTTCTCAGCGGTGACCTGGAAGATACCACATAACTGAGAATAAAAACTTACCAGAAAGATTTCAAAACCCTTCTTGATATTGTTATTTTAATTCCTATAATGTAGCATTTGCAAAGCTTAGTATAAAATAAGTGTGAAGGCTGAAAATATATCTCACATAGAAACATCCAGCCAAGAAACCTCAAATATTTAAAACAAAAGAAAAGAAATCATAATGTTTTGAGATCATTACCACAGGACAACAGCCCTTCTTCATAGCCCACAGTGTAGGAGAAATCAACAAACTCTCTTGGGGAAATTATATTCCAAAGCTGACCAGCAGTAGTGTAACGCATCACACAGCAATTCTGAAAGAGAACAGGTAACAGGTATTACTACTTAGGAAACATATATGGACTCATATATCATAACTTAACCCTTAGTAAAAAACTAAGATTCATTTAAAATGTATTTATAAATTATTATTAATAATAATTCTTACAGCGATGCTGACAGGTTTTGATCTCTATTCTAAATCTCACTGCCATTTTATGAGCATGAATAAGGTATATGACCAAAATACAAAGAGGTAAGTTACCCAGTATCTAAATCTCTAACTCAATGCAGTGGCTTTGTATCCTATATGATATTCAACATGGAAGTAGGTGGTATAGACTACAGGTGTTTAGCATAAAATCCACAAATATTTGGACTAAAATACCAAATGTTTCAATAAAGAAATTCAAACATGGGAAGAATGAATTAACAAAAATAGAAAAATAGAAAGAAATAGAAAATAAAAACACTTTGGTTACATCATTCTCTAACACCTAAGGTTGCATTTTTATCTTTGGTCTTTGATTTTGGCTTAACATTAGTGGAAAAACCTACATATGATTACCTAGAAACCTGCATATGATGGTGTTGTCTTTAGAATTTTAAATTTCAGAACCTCAAGTTCAGTTTTTTTTTTAATTTTTTAAAGATTTTACTTATTTATTTGACAGAGAGAGAGAGAGAAAAAGAGATCACAAGTAGGCAGTGCAGCAGGCAGAGAGAGAAGGGGACGCAGGCTCCCCGCTGAGCAGAGAGCCCGATGTGGGGCTCGATCCCAGAACCCTGAGATCATGACCTGAGCCAAAGGCAAAGGCTCAACCCACTAAGCACCCAGGCGCCCCTCAAGTTCAGTTTTACAATTAAAGATGCTGGCAGTTTTCTTAAGCAGCAAGGGTAGCGCTACTGTGGAAAACAAACTCCATTCTGACTAATACTCATTAGTTAATATGAAAAAGCTCAAACTTTTTAAAAGGCAGCAAGGATTCCCCTGTGAGATCTCTGCCATGACTACTTACTCTCCAATCAATGAATACAAGTGGGTGCCCATACTCACACTCACATGCTCTCTCTTACAGGCACACACACAAAATCTGAAGTAATGTTTCTCAATAAATACCTCCTCGAAGTGTTCCAAAATATCCATTGAAGTCATTAAGCTATCCCAATCCAAGCGACAGGGACCTGGGCGTATATGGTCTATAACACTATTGACGCTGTCATCTATAACACCTTGCGCTTTGAAACTGGAGAAAAAATATTAAGGTCAAATGCTGTTAGAAAGAAAAATTTCAGTATGCCCCCATAATTCAGAGCTAACTTCAAAAAAAGGAAAAGTTAATTAAGATTTTTGTAAAGGGAGTAAATCGCAAAAGTTTTTCTGATAAGTTCTATCAATTATTTTATTAGGATGTACTCTTTGCCCTCAAATCTAACAAGTGATCTGAAGTCTAAATTAAATGACCATAGGAAAGTACCTTCATATTACAGTGTAACTGAAAACAGTCCATACAACACTCACGCTTCATTTATTCTGTATGCAATTCCTTTCTCAGTTAGGCTCTAAGATGTTACTAGTGTACACATATTTTTACTCTGACTTTCAAAAACTTTTTTACAGGAACAGAAAAATAGGTCATCCAGGAATAGCACACAGAGGAATGACTCATGAATAATATCAGAACTTGACATATTTCAGAGGTGGCATTATGTATCAGTGGGGAAAGGATGTACTCTATTCCATAAATGGCAGTTTGATTCAATACTTACACTAATAGAGAAATTAAAAACTGAATCACTATTTGACACCATTCAAAACAATTACTTCCAGACAGACTAAAGACTACTACGTAAAATTTAAAGCTTTGAGAAAAATACATCTTTGTGACCTCAGGATACAGGGGCATTTCTTGAATACATAAAACAAACAAAAATACAAATAATACAAGACAGTTAAAATTAAAAACTTGCATACCACAAATGACAATATAAGTAATTTCTTCAAAAACCAGCCATAGACTGGAAGAATGAATGTGTAACACATATAAACACACATAATTATTCTAGAATATACATAATTAATTCCTATAAACCAATGAGAAAAAGATAATCCAAAGAAAATAAGTACAAAAGATATGTTAAGATTGATTGGAAATGTCAATAAATTAAGGAAAGATACTCAACTTCACTTGTACTCAAGTAAATACTAACAGGATACCATCTCATACCCCTGAAATTGGCAGAGTAAAAACATAACAAGTATTGAATGGAAGGGAATGAGAGCTCTCAAACTGCTACCACCACTTTAGAGAGCAATTAATTTGCAATGTCCCTAGTGTAGTTGAATGAAGCATACCCAAAGAAAATCACACGTGTGTTGAAGGAGACATATACTAAAGAAGTTTACTATAGCACTGTTATTTTATAAGGAAGAATTGTCAACAACCTAAAAATTTACAAACACAGGTAAATACATCGTAGTATTTTCATATGAATATGAAAGAATAGATATACATGTAACAACCTGGCTAAATCCTGAAAAAAACACTGTATTAAATGGAAAAAAATCAAAAGCAAATTACTAAAGGAAACACACACACACACATATATGTGGTCAAAGCATAAAACAGGAATACACACTTTGAGATAGTTACCTCTGGGGAAGAAAGAAAAAAGAAGAAATGAGAGATAGATTAGCTTTAACTATATCAGTAACATTTTGGGCAGGTCTTTTTAAAAGTTTTTTTAAAGCATCTGAAGCTGTTTTATCATTTTGTAAGTATTTCCACCTCAAACTTATATGATCTCCCCCATCCTAAATCTGATCTTCCCTCCTGTGTTCTCTGACTTGGGGTGGAGGGTGGGAATAGGGCAACACAAATGAATCCCAAATTAGACATATGGGATTCAACTTTTAACACTTCTTTTTCTCTTGATCCCATTTCAACAGTCAAAACAAAAGTCACCATGTTTTATCAAGATGACTTCGTAAATGTAAAGCGCTTGGAACAATATCTGGCTCTCAATGAATGCTAGTTATTATCACCACCACCACCACTAGATCCCTTTCACATCCACTTGCCCTTTTCGACTCCCATACTATGTCCTTAGTTTGGGCACTCTGTGTCCAGCTCAACACTGCAACCATTTCTAGCTCTTTGGACCACATCTCCTTAAGTTTCTGAAAAAACAAACAAATAAACAAACAAACAAAAAAACACAAAGATCTCTTCCCAGGAATATAACATTGACACAAAATTATGTTTATGATCTTGAGGAAACGTCAAGAAGCTAGCCATGGACTCTAAGGGTAAGACCTCTTCTCTAAACTCTCCATGCGGTCATTTTCATTTTTCACAGTGCTATCAGATTAAGTTCAAAATCTTTGAGGACCTGGGAGGTGGGAGTAAGGGTTGAGCAAAGGTAAGCACAATATTGAATTCCTTACTTCAGAATTCAAAAATCCTGTAGACATATGCTCTCTCTATCCTCATACTTTATGCTCCAGCTATACAAACATCACTTCTACTTCCCTAAACAAACTCCTTAGAGTGTTTCCCATCTGTGTTTATGTAATAGATGCAATCCCCTCTGCCTGGAATATGAATCAGTTCTTCGTTCCCTAAGAAATAACCCATTCTTCCTTTAAAGCTTGGTTCATGCACTAAGTCTTCAATGAAGCCCTCTCAAATTACCAAGCATTATACTTCCTTGGCACATTTTGTGCTTTTCAACCCCCACTGCCAATCAGTGATCTAAAGGATTAACTTCACACTTGCTTACAACGCTTAATCCACAACTCCAGTTTCCTCACCCTCATCATAAATATCGTATAAGTCATCTTTCTGGAAATGCTATCTTTGGTATTATACTTGAGAACATACAGTAAGTGGAACCCACAGTTTCATTTTTAAAAGGACTGAGAGTCCCAAGGATATGAACATTCCACTCCAATTATACAAGGCAACAGTCTCTAGTGGCTTTAAAAAACAATATTAATTTTCTGGTAAAAAGCATAAATTCATGTTCACCTATATGCAAATATCAAAAAATGGAAATAGAAATCACCTATAAAACAGGCATCTAGAGGTGTGTATTTGGTGTTAAGTAAAAACATTCTAATATATAAAAATTAAAGTCAACTCACAATTCTGCTACATGCAGTTCATATCCTGCTTTATTCACTTTACATCTTGAGGATTTTCTTGTGTTTTAAACTAATATTTGAAAACACAGTTTTTAAAGACTGTAAAATATGTTTCAAAATTTAACCATTTTATGACTATTGATTCAAGTTGTTTGTAATTTTTAATATTATAAGTAATGCTGTGATGAAAGAGATATGTATTTACTAACTTCCTTATGATTTCTTTAAGACAAATTCTTTTTTTTTTTTAAGATTTTATTTATTTAGTGAGCACAAGAAGCAGCAGCAGCAGAGAGAAGGGAGAAACAGACTCCTTGCTGAGCAGGGAGCCCAATGCAGGACTTGATTCCAGGATCCCAGGATCACGACCTTTGCCAAAGACAGCCACTCAACCAACTGAGCCACCCAGGTGGCCCTAAAATAAATTCTTCAAGTATGCTATAGCACTGAGTAAATATAGAAGAATACTAGAAAGGGTTATACACTGTGCTAAGAAATTAAGATTTTTATTGGCCATTTGATATCATTATTTATGATTTCCCTTACTACCAACTCAGTCCACAAGGAATATGGACACTTTAAAGGCTTTGAATTCGTAAGGTGAATATGCTTCTCAGAAAGTTTAAAATCTTAAAAGCCAAATTTTAGTGGCAATGATGATTTAGTGATCATTTATATATATATGAAGTCTGGCAATGTCTTAAGAGCTACCTAAACCTACAAGAATTTACTTACAGGTATCCATTAAATTCTTCTGAAGGTTTTCTCCAAATTGTTACATCTTTCTAGAAAAATAAAAAAAACAGTATAAGGGCATAAATCATTACTTAGGTGGAACTCTGGATATAAAATTGACAATTTCAAATTCTACAGCATCAGTCTTTGCATTTAGAGATACATAAAAGTCACTTATACCATCAATTGATCCATATTTGAATTTCTTCTGTATCCTAAAGTCCTTCACATTGTGCTTGAAGTACAGACGTCCAGAACAGATTTTTCAGTCGCTTAATGAGATGCAAACCTTGTTAAGATCCTCACCAGCCATTATTATTTGCTCACTCTAATCTTATCTATTTACCGTTACGGACACATTTGGCCCAAGACAAGAGGAATGGTAAATATTTCATTCTGAACTTGCTCGTATCTTTTTTAAAATCAAACAATTCACATCTATAATGACAGTGCTACCTTGAATTCGTCCCTACATCTTTTTTCTGATCATTTCCCAAGAAATTCTGAATATCAGACTAGCTAGAGTACTACACTGGAGTCCTGGGTTCCAGGGTTCCTGGGTTCCTGGGTTCCTGGCTCTGTCAACACTCAGCCACGTGATAGTTCGGACCAGTTATACCAATAGAAAAGAATATTAATTGGCCACCTTCACAGGCTTGTTGACATATCTGAAACTATTTCAAACTATCAATACATGTTACATTTTATATGTTGACTTTAGAAGCTATTCTTTAGGCTCCTGTTGCCAGTCTATTCTCATGTCCAATATCTAAAGAAGTAATGAAAGCAGTAGAGGATTACTGTTTTGCCTTGGTGAGATGTCAAACCACCAGCTTTATTAGCTTAATTATTTATCCTGCCATCTACCCAAAGTATGGTCCCCATTTTCCTTTAGCATTTTGAAAGTCATCAACCAACTCACTGGATAGAAGATAAATGCCATAAGGGGTAATTTAAATAATTTACCGTTTTCTTGGCAACTCGCCACTTATCATCTTCAATGCTATGATACTGTATAAGAGTGTTCTTAAGTCTAGTTGCAAAAGCAGCAGCATCAGGCAGGCCTTCCATTTTTTTTCCTTCTGTTACAAAGACAAAGATTAGCATCAGCAAATACCACAATTTGAAGCAGTAGACCACTGAGTCTCAAATCTGGCTTCATAAGAGAATCAACCTGGGAGCTATAAAAGATAACTTATACCTGGATCCCACTCCCAATCAACTAGTCAGAATCTCTGAGAGTAGGGCCTGGGCATAGGTTTTTTTTTTTTTTCCCCCTAAAAGTTCCCAAGATGAGTAACACCAAGCCAAGGATGAGCATCACACATTTTAAGTTATTAAAATCACTCATATAAAAATAAACTACAATCCTCATTCCCTTTCTCAAGGAATATAATAAAAAGAAATACATTTTAGAATTCTAGATGACTTAAAGAAAAAATACTGCTGTTTCCAAACTACAAAAATAAATACACAAGGAATAAATTCTTTTACAAATTCTTTGGAGTTTCAGCCATTAAATTTTTTAATTTAACAACCAACAAATTTAGGACTCATTCTAGAAAACTAATGACAAAACTGTTCACACATTCTTTCAGGTTAGGGTTACAGAACTCTGAACAACTTCAAAAGTTTGAAGAACTGCACCATTTTCAATATTTTATTTCATTTGATGAAGTGCTGTAAGATTTAGTAAGGTATCTGTATAAGGAAGTCATATGAAGACTTTTAGAACCATCAGTACTGTATAAACAAATGGTTCATAATTTTAAGGCAATAATTTTAACCATATAAAAAAAGAAAAGTACTATATCGTTACTAATTCCAAAGATAAGCTACTTTTCAACATTGTTTCTAAAAAGAAATGATTGTTAACATTTTTTTTAAAGATTTTATTTATTTATTTGACAGAGATCATAAGCAGGCAGAGAGGCAGGCAGAGGGAGAGGAAGGGAAGCAGGCTCCCCGCTGAGCAGAGAGCCCAACGTGGGGCTCGATCCCAGGACCCCAGGATCATGACCTGAGCTGAAGGCAGAGGCTTTAACCCACTGAGCCACCGAGGCACCCAAGATGATTGTTAACCTTAAAGATAATAAACAATATAATGAAGCCTTCTGTAATGTGACAGTTTTAAAACACTGCTGCAAATTCTTTAGTACACTTCCCATCAAGAGGTAGTCTGTGACTGCATGACTTCTTAGGCTGAGTTAGAAATGTCCATGCAGGTTTTGCAGGTTTCTTTTAGACTAATTGCTCTGGGAGCCTTTGATCAACATGCAAGCATGCAAAAACTCTGGTTATCTTGAGTCTGAAATGTGGAAAGACTGGAGAGAAGGGGAAATAGGGAGAGAAATAGGACTCCAAAGTCTCAGATCCAGAAGCCTAGTTAGAACTTCATGCTAATGGCTATCACCCTAAGCTTCCCTTAATTTTACTCAGTCTCCCCCATCTTAACAATTTACTTGTATTTTACTTTGTTTTTATTTATTTATTTTTTAATATGGGCTCCACACCCAGCATAGAGCCCAACACGGGGCTTGAACTCAGGACTCTAAAATCAGGATCTGAGCTGAGATCAAGGGTCAGATACGTAACTGACTGAGCCACCTAGGCTACAACCATTTCTTTCTTTCTTTCTTTTTTTTTTTAAAGAGTTTATTTATTTATTTGACAGAGAGAGAGATCACAAGTAGGCAGAGAGGAAGGCATAAGAGAGAGGGGGAAACAGGCTCCCCACCGAGCAGAGAGCCCGATGCGGGGCTCAATCCCAGGACCTTGAGATCACGACCCGAGTTGAAGGCAGAGGCTTAACCCACTGAGCCACCCAGGCACCCCTCAACCATTTCCTTTTAAAATGGAATTGAGCCAGTGGCTCAAAGACAAAGCCTAGGAATCACCCTTGAAAGAAATTAAGAGATTCCTATTCACACCACCAGGTCTCATTGCCTAGAATATTATTGTCCTACTTGTTTTCTTTCTGCCCCTCAAATAGGCCAAGCTTGTCACTGACTCTGGGCTTTGTTCTTGCTATTTCCTTTGCCTGGATATTAGATCCCAAATCTGAGCATGACTAGTAACAACTTGAAATGACAATTTCACTTTAAACCTATCTTAATACAGCCATCTCCAAGTCTCCATTACATCCTTCTTTTATTTTCTTCATAGTGCTTATCACAATCTAAAATTAACTTGTTTTTTTATTGGTATACTGTATTCTACCCTTTTACCATCATATCCCTAACTAATAGAGCATGAGCCTTTAACTGCCTTGTTTAGCACAATATCCCTAACTACTAAAACGTTGTCTGGAACACAACAGGCCCTTAATATTTGGTGAAGTGTGTTCACTTCAAAGCAAGAATTATTTGGTCTTGATTTTGTGTACTTTAGGTTCCTTGGTGCACTCCAGTGAAAGAATATAGAAAAAGCTTCTGGGGAAAAGCTGCATGATTTACAGAATCATCAAGTTACTACTAAATAGGAAATCAAGAAAAGATCTAAATGAAATGTCAAGCCTCAAACTTCTATGTGAAAAAGGCTGTAATTCTCACCTACAGATGCATACCTCAAAATCCCCTTTGTCATATTTTGTAGTAGTTGTAGCTGTTGACAAAGGTTCCCTTCCCTTCCTCAGAGGACTCCTCTGATTCCTCTTTTTGACCAGGCCTTGTTCTTGGGCTTGTCCTTAGAGTCCTAAGTTCAGTTTTAGCAAGAAACCTGCTGAGCTAGCTTACTGAAACATCCTCAAAAATTCCTCATCCTACCCTTGATCTTATCATGCTGCTCTGCATTCAGCAAGAACCCTTAAGTCAATTTAGCGAGAACCCTTACCCTTAATGTTTCCTCTTAGCAATTTCCCATCCATTGACACCTATCCTGCTCCTTGGCTACAAATCCCCACTGTCTTTGTTCTATTAGAATGGAATATAACTTTCTTTCTTTTTCTTTTTTTTTTTTTTTTTAGGATTTTGTTTATTTATTTGAGAGAGAGCAGGGTGGGGAGCAGGGAGAGAGAATATCCAAAGCAGACTCCATGCTGAGCATGGAGCTGGACAAAGGGCTCGATCCCCATGACTACAACATCATGACCTGAGCCAAAACCAAGAGTTGAAGGCTTAACCATCTGAGCCACCCAGGCATTTCCAGAACAGGGTACAATTCTATACTGAGTTATCTTTTCCCCTATTGCAATAGTTCTTGAATAAGATTTGCCTTTACCATTTTAACTTCTATCTGCCTCTGGGCTTTTTGTGACACTGTTTTTAGATGTTAGATATCAGGTTCCACTGCCAGATAGTGTGATTCAGTGGGCCTATTCTGGAGTAGGCCCCAAAAATCTAGGTTCTATAAAAAGCCTCACTGATCATTCTGTTATTCAGCCAGGGTTGAGAAACACTATCTAAAAACTAAAGATGACAGAAATAAATCACTATTGTAGTCAGTATTTAAATAGCATAGAACAAAGCATACAAGCTATTAAAAATGATAAACAAGATGATACAGAACTGTAGGGGAAGAAAAAACCTTTTTCTCTATTCTCTTAGGTTCTGTCTTTGGGACCTGCAAATTAAACTGAAAGAAGGTATATTAACAGTACAAAAGACACACAAATTTTATTTGCTGTTAATATTTTATTTTTATATACATAGAGGCCTTCACAAAAAAGAAAGAAATGGGAGACCCAAAAAGAGCACTTAGACTTGGGGCTTATACCCCATTCTAACAAAAGGCAATAACTTGTGGAAAAGTGACAAGACAAAGAAAAGGGATTTGGGCTTCTAAGGGTGGTGAATTATGAGAAAGTTAATAGAAAAGAAAGGTTATTGTAGTAAAGTTTGTTTGTTCAGACAATCTTGGTGCCAGCTCTACCTCCAGTGATGAGTTGTTCTCCTCCTAGTATATGAGAGGAGAGGGAAGACCTTCACAAAGGGAAATTTATGCTCTACTTTTAAGTAGTAGAGGGAGGGAAAACAGCTCTTTCTGCATTTGCTGCTGAACTGCCTTCAGTTCAAAATAATCCTTATTCCAAAATGGCATATTTTGGGGTGGTATATCCCAAAATATGGGAAACATGGGAAAGTATATATAGAAAATTCAAAAAAATAGAATTTAGGATCTATGTAAGTGATGTAAGTGATGCAAAATACATAATAAATATAGAATCTACCCATCGATTAAAAGTGGATAAGATCATTCAAGCAGTGTGCCAGTCAGGAAAGTATCCCATTTCTCCTCAAGAGACTGCCAATTTGATAGCTGGTACAATGACCTTAATCAAAGATATGTTATAAACTAGCACAAATTCTTAGAGAAGACTTGAAAAACTAATTTATCTATTGCTGGGATCATTATGATTAAACAGTATTCTTTAAATCCAAAGGTTGCCTGCCAGGTTCCTGTGGTTGGCAGGAAAGATATTTCATCAAAGATGAAATGTAAAAATGCTATTATCACAGACGATGTTATCTTTGTATAAATCC